ATTGAATTCCAGAGATATATTAATTCCAGTGCAAAAAGAGAGGAAAGATTTTAGACATCAGCAGATATTGCATCGTACGTTTTAAAGAATTTATGTTTTGAGTTGCTATGTTTTTTTAACTGTAACCACAGAGCTGACACCCATTTAGGGTTTAGTTTTTTTTTGTATAACACTTGGTTTATCACCTTTTGTTATCGGATCATGTCGTGCTGATATTTAAACACGTTTTTTTACTAATAAAAATAGTTACCTTCTCCCAATCCACGATCCCAAATCAGGGTTAGAAAAACCARCGTCAAAAGTACTTGAGAAGGGTTCATTGATAAATCCTTRCCACAAATAAAACTATTAAATTTAGTTAAGTGGAGTAGAACATAAGGTGCTCCTACCAAAGTGATCACCTCTAGTGATTTATACACCTGCTGTAGGATTTAATTGATGCGATTTAAGTAAATACTACMAGCTAATAGGAAACTAGAGGATTCATTAYGAGTTCCYTTTATGGTTTGACACTAACGGTTTACCTGCAACTTTGACAAAGACATAACTGTAGCAGAACTRATCCTCTGGTAACCCATTGTTAACATTTAAGGTTTTTTTTAAATTGCCTTCAAGATATTCCTCTTTCATGTTATACTACATAAAAGCATCGTACATTACATTTCTAAGAAATTTGTGCAAAATTTTACAGGTTTATAATTGTACTTGTTAATAAGTTACTCAACGACCTTCTTGATAATATTTCGACTAACAAAGAATTTGTTTAGTTAATAAGTTAATCAACAACCTTCTTGCTTTGGTTTAAATTTCATTTGCACTTCAATGACTTTTGAACTTTAGTGACATAGAACAGTCAAGATTAGTTTTGTCTATTATCACTTAACATTTTATCTATTTAGGGAAAGTTTATTTTTTTATCGGGAGTAGGGGGGGGGACTAGTTGTTTTGGAATTTTTCTCGAAAAAAAGACACGACCCCCAAGTTGGACACATTTTTACAAATGAGCCACCCCTTTGGCCATGTCCTATTGACAGGACCCCAAATCTCTTGATTCGTAAGAAATATGTTGTATTGAAGTAATATAGGATTATAATTTTGCATGTTCCCCCTCTTACAGCCACCCCTCAAAAGTACCAACCCCTCCCCCCCTCCCCCTCCCGATAAAAAATGGACGGTCCCTTATTTTATTTAGTTGTTTTAGTTAGCTTTTAAAAACACACTTTACGGCGTTTTGAACAGTCTTTAACCTTTATTAAGTTTGATTTCTTTCTCCTTCTTCTTTTGTGGCCTTGAGACAAATGAATCTTTATCTACCTTTATTTCCCTTTTCTGTGAGAGGATTTCAAAGTTCGGTGAGTCAAAGTTAGGCGCGATTTTAGGTGTCCTGCTGCAACATGATTTACTTCGTCTCTTTTCTTTCCATTGACACTGCATCTTGGATCATTAGGAGATGATGGATAGGCGTCACTCCAGTACATAAAATGAAACCAAACATTCATCTTGGTGTAGATGGATCTCTATAAAAATAAGATATAACTAGTACATCTAAGGGAACATTAAAAAAAGAGCAGTAATAATAGAGAGGATTTCGTATGACTGTGCCAATGCAAGGATCACGACGCGAACACGGTACGCAATTTAGACGTCTGAATTCCGAAACACTACTTTTGAACACATATGTGGTACAATTTACGTGGCTTACACAGAGCATAGGCAATATCATCATTTATTATATGACTGTCCAATTTAGTGCAATCTGATTGGCTCACGCGCGGGCTGCGTTTTGCGTATTACGGACCATGTGCTATATTTTTTACCAAGACCTGTGTCTCGGATGAAGAAGGTTTTTCCTTTTTTCTCGCGAGTTTCCAAGTTTTCTTTGTTCGGAAATTCGTATTTTTTTTAACGAAATAATTAACAAAAACAAAAAATGTCAAGTACGAGAGCGAGCCGACCGGAAACAAACTAGTCAAATACCGGAAATAAACAACCTCTTAATATAGTCCAGAGCATTAATTAAATGATAATCTAAATTAATCATACGTACATCGAAATTTTTACAATTCTTGTCTGGTAGCAGTGAGCCACCACATTCAGCATTCTCATTTATAGGTATTTCCATGTCGTAAGTTCCAAATAAACTCTGGCATTCAGCAGATCCAGACTGAGCATCATCACACGGCGTGCCACTAAGGAAGTGGCAGCACATGGATTCAAAACGAGAGTCATCTTTGGTCATGCAAAATGAAGAATCAACTGAAATAAAATAGTAAAACTCAGTTAAAACTTTTGTTCCAGTATCTGATATCTAATAGAACCATGGACACGTATAACAAAATAAGTTATTCAGTCTCATAACTTACGGTTCCCCGCCTTTAAATCTTGATTACACATGTCTGGGTTTGTTATCGCAAATCTGTTGAATACAAGTTTTCGCCAGGAAGTATCCATAGACAGCTTTTGACGAAATTGTTTGATGTTTCCAAATCCATCTTTAAAATATGAACCGCTTCCATGTCTCACTTTTAAGTGGACCATAGCTGGCATGTTATTGTCTTCTTGCGTTTTGTCTCCATACAGCTCAACATACATCTAAAGAGAAGATTTGAATGTTAAAAAAATTCCATTATAAATGAAATTAACAAAAAGAAAAAAAACTTTACAAACAGTATCGCTCTACTCCAGGTTTGAACTAAATGCATGAGCTGCATGACAGAGAAGGGCCAATATGAGGAATACACTAGAAACACAGACAAAATTCATGAGTATTCATTCTTACCTTCAGAAGACGGACATTGTAGCACGTTTCACAGCTTTCGTCGATACCTAAATGTAATCTTGCCTTGCCTCGATGAAGATCTTCAAAAAGCTAAAAAATAAGTCTAATAAGTCATTGTTTGTAGCCAATAGAGATCATAGATCAGTGTATAGGGGAAGGATCTCGAGAAGGTTTGAAGTTTGGCAGTCAAAACACGAAAGTAATGTTGTTGTTTGAGCATTGCAGAATTGCATTAATACAACCTCTATTCCTACTTACTGCGGTGTTAGTAATGCTATCAAATTGCCACTTATGAACGTTATCAGTAAAAACAAATTTAGTGAAGCACTGTCTTCCTTTGCTCTCGAGGTCATCTAATTCCTGGAGAGCATTATTTAGATGTACAACTCCTTGTAGCTGTCCATTGCCAGCAGCTGCTTCGCTCGCAGTCCGCTCAAAAGAAGCCAGCCTTTGAGTTTCATCCCATAGTGAACGGAACTCGAAACTTTTGTAAAACAAGTACAGATTCTTTGAAAAACTGGCTTCCATCTTCTGATAAGACGTCAAGAGATTGTCAAGAAACATCTGCTGGACGTGATCTTCCATGGGAGAATCTAGAAAAGAAGTCCACGAACATAATAACTGGCCTCCGAGAAAGGAAATGATGAATAATGGATTTTTAAGCACTTACCTCCAACGTTTCGTAACATTTCGAGCTCACTTGCCGTCTCTTCCAAGTTTGGAATGTCAAAGTTGTATCCACCAATCTCATTGTCTAAATCGATGACCTTTGCGATCAGATCAATCCTTGCAGCTCCTGCAATAAAGAACCGCTCGACCTGCTCTTTGAACTTTGCCACGGCGTTTGGTGGCAGACGCTCTTCCAATAGGCATACGAGATCTGCTATGAGGCCCTCCTTATTCATTTCCAAGTTAGCCTTCAAACAAAAGAAATATCTAAGTAGTATTCTTTTTTTAGTTTTTCTCTTATTCTTAACATCATGCATGTTACCTGCATCATTTCTGGCACTGATCCAACGTCCATTTGGTCAAAATCAAGATCACTAGAATCCTCCAGCTTCTGGTATTCCTGGCCAAAAGTAAGCCATTTTGTAAGATGACCCAGATTGTCCTGTAAGGTTCCGGCGTCGCACTGTGTAGCAAAGTGTTCAGCTGTTTCAATAGCAGCACCAAGAGCTCCGAATGGATCCTTTCCTGCGACAGCACCGACAAACCCAGTAACGCCTTGAAGTAATGCAAACATGTCTTCCTGGGTGAATTGTGCTTGATCATTTAACTGGGTCAGGAGCTGATTTGCTTGTGCCAAATAGCCGTCCATGGTTGATTCAAGATGTTTAATGGCCTATAAGAAGAGTGGTATCTAATTTTTCTCGCATCGCTTATATACATTATATAATCATAAATAAAACACTTCCTATGATATTAAACTAGACATGACAATGAGGAACGTTCTTTAAATGCTTAATTGTTGTCTTAATTAGTCCATTATTAATACAACAACTTTTTTGTCTCTAACTTAGACATATCCATTCAAATGAAGATTAGATTGGATTAGGATGAAGATGTCAACGATAAAGTGCCTAATAGGATATATTCTTAAGTCTAGCTATTATTTTGAGGCAAAAGATGAAATTGCTATTTGAAAGACACTAACCGGAACATAAGCCTCCTTCTCAGTGAGTGCAACTCTCCTGGCCTCTTCGAGTCTTTCTTTTTCTTTGGTAACTTGAATTTCAGCTGTCTGACGTGCTTGCACAATTTCGTTTGTATTTTCATCTCTCTCAATCGATGCTTGAAGTGTATTATAAGCAGTTTCGTAATCTCTGCAGTAATCTCGAATGTTTACAACGTCATTTCTAAAAGCCTCCCATTTTAATAATGGAGCGAAAAGTTTGTTCCTTCCAAATCGGTCAAAACCTGTTTTTTTCAAGAAAGCCAACCTTCGCTTTGCAACTGAAAACAAATCAACAACAACAACAAAAAAATACGTTGTTCAGTAGCGAAAAACTTTGTTAACAGTTAACATAGACAGAAAACATACATTTTCGAAGCTCAACAGCATCGTCCCTGCCTTGAGTCAAGGTGAAAATGAAATTAAGAACTGCTTCTGCCATAGGTAAATCATTCGCCCAGAGACGGTCCTCGGCCAATCTACTCAAAATGTTCATTAATGCCAAAGGATATTTTCTTATATCGCTTGTTTCAAGGCTATGTTTTGTAAGATAAGACTGGTCAACTTGTCCATTCGAGCCAGGGCCAACCAAAGCTAAAGAGAAAAGAAATTGTCTTGAATTTATGATGTAATACCGATAGATGCAGTATATGTAATGCTCACTCATTCTCAAATGTAATGCCTTAAAGTCCACCTCACCCAATTTTTTTTACAGTTGGAAAAAAAAGTTTAGGAGTTATAAACCACAAATTCACATAAAAAAATTCGAATTTCCAAATTTTATATTTTTTATGCTCGTTTAATTCGGCCAAATGATTTTTGGCCGAGTGCGAGGGAGCCTGGGTTGATGACGTAGATGGAGTAACTCGTCCTTCGCTAAATACAAAGTTTACTGTACAAGTTCCACATATTTCATTACAAATCTATGTTTTCTAAGACTGAACGTGGGATAATCCAGCCTGAAACGGCAAATCTAATGCTACTAGAGATTATTCTGACGATTTGAACGTTATTTCATGTCTTGGCTATAAAAATGGAGCCAAAGTGTTGAGAGATTATTCTGGACAAACAAGTGTTGCGTATAGATCTAGATAAATATCGAGGAACAGGAAAAGTTATTTACGGCCCCAGGTAAGTAACTTCTTTCAATATATGTAGGTAGTATTTACAGCTGTTCAAATTCCAGGTTCTCTTGTTTCAGATTTGATTTTTACTGTCATTTCACTGTAGGTATCTATCGTTGTCTCTCGAACGACTTACTCCCTCTATGTCATCACGAAGACATTGATCAGGCACACAGGAATCCCGAAATTGGCTTTGTCAGCGGTTGTTTTCGCTTCAAAATGTAGTTTAAATAAACGAAATCAAATTTGTTTGTACAAATTGTTGTTACTATGACAAAAGTCTTTTCTTTACAAATATAAAAAAAATTGGGTGAGGTGGAATTTAAAAGTATAAGTATAATCTTTTAAATGGTTAAAAAATACTCAACTGCGCCCATCAATGCCCTTTTGTCCAGTATCTCCTTGTTGTCTTGGCAACGATTTTTTCTTCTCGCACTTACGAAATTCCCTTAATGGCCCACCATGAGTATAATAAGACCTTGTTTTGCATTCAATCCCCAATCCTCCTTCTCCTCCAGCTCCTCCTGAAAATGAATTTAACTTAAGGTTGCTTCCTATAGTTTTTTTTCGACCATACCTCTTCTTTTAATATTCGCAAATTTAAAAGGGAGAGGTATGGTTGAAAACAAAATATAGGATGCCACCTTAAAAAGTAATTTGTGGTACCAATGATAATCATTACGTATCCGCTAAGATGAAATCATTGTTTTAAGATGAAAAGCGCTCTTTTTTCCCTTCCGAAAAAGTGCAGTGGTGTGCCTCCAACAAACGGTACTAGGCGAGCTCGAAATTTGGAATGTCAAATTGTATGTAAAAGGGTATCAAAGTCAAGCACATTCAATAATGTGTACGACACCAAAGTAACGTGAAAGAGTTTTACCGCTATTCCGACCATAAAGCCAAGTTACAGCCGTAAATCGAAATTGTGAATAAAAAATTGTACAAACCAGCCCCTCCTAATCCATTAACTGATGCCTGCCCTCCATTCCCACGGCAAGTCTTTAGCTCAACATTTCCATGCAGGTTCTTTATGTTAATTGTCTGATGACCAGCGTTACCGCCATTGCCTATTGGGAAAAAAAGTCAATACATCACGGGATCCAATAAATTAACTTGATCGGACACTTCGTAACAAACCAGATAAAAACATTTTTGAAAATGTTAAGTAATATATATGTCATGCATGTTTTTCGTTAATATTCTCTAATATTTTGGACTTCCAATTCCTGTTGTTTTAGACTGCGAAGTAATTAAGCAAGATATAGTGAGTTACTAATATGAATGTTTAATATAATCTTACCTGATTTTCCAGCATATCCACCACCATGACCAGCTCCTCCAGTCTTTCCTTTTATTCCATTGATTTTTTTGTTGCAATTCAAAGTAGTGAGTCCGCCTGTGGCGGCGTTTTGACAATTTGTTAATGTCCTATCAGGTTGCTGAAAGTCATATATAAAAATGACTTATTTAATGCCTTTAAACTATCTCTCCAATCGTATAATTACCGTATGGGAACTGGCCGTTCCGGCCTTTCCATTTCTGCCATTTTGACCTTTATTACCATGACCACCACTTGATTCAATGTTAATGTGACCAGATGCTGTGTCCGCGTAGATTTCAACTGATAATTCAATAAAAAAATATCTTAAGCCATTCAACGCTGTGCATCCCAGAAACGTTG